TAGTGCCAGTAATTAGCCAGGTCCCGTGTTAGTGCCAGTAATTAGCCAGGTCCCGTGTTAGTGCCAGTAATTAGCCCTGTCCCTTGGTTCGTGTTTATGTAAGCACGCGTCCCGTTTTTGGCCACGCTGAGCCGCTAATGCTAGCTCACGTTAGCAGTCAGAGACCACATGCCGGCTGGTGACGGAGGAGGTAAACTAACTGCTAAAGCAGGGCTATTCAATGTACGGCCCGTGGGCTAATTTCGGCCCGCGGGTGACATCAATCCGGCCCACTTCATTTTTGTTTTTTGGGGGTTCTGGATTGGGATTTTGGGTTCTTTTTTATTGCATTCATGATTCAATGTAATAAAATAAACAAATTTAAAAGTAAACATATCACTGTGAAACTTTGTTTAGTTACATAATGACTTTAATCGCTGGATGTCCGGCCCCTGAGCTGCTGGCTTTCAGAAACTGTGGCCCACTGAGCAGTTTAGTTGAATAGTCCTGTGCTAAAGTAAGTCTATGGGTCACCATCGACCCGTTCACGTTTCGAAAGATGTTTCAAATGATTCTTCTTCCGTTCACGTCTCAGTTCATATGACTAATGCTTTTATACCATACTCTAAAAATTGTTTTAGGTGAAGGTGTTGAATCATTAAACTTCGGCTACAACTGTGGATGAAGTGGAGCTGTAAGCTTTGCATTTTTGCCACCTGCAGTGAAAGAGCAATAATTAGTCATTACAGAGACACTCATGGACGTGGAAGACAAGGTTGGAGCTGCATTTACCCCAGCTGTCTAACTGTGCTCAGATCCCATGTGGATTTTGCAAAGCACATCTAGGAACATAAAAGATCATATCCAGTTGCTAAACTACGCTGTGAACTCTGTACTTTTTCAGCAGAAAAGAGATCATTGGAGATCAACCACACATCACAGAGCTCATTTCCCGGTGGCCAGCTCTGTTCCACGAGAAACGGGTAATCACACAACTTTGCATTAATTCCACCAAGAGATTTAATCCTGTTAAGACTGTTTGGACGGTGTCCTATTGAGAAATGTTATATTTTCTGTCTTATCACTTCAGATTAGAGCAGAATTCAGGAGAATCGTCACCACAGACCTCCTGGATTCTTTTCTTGACGGACTTGATGGCTTGATCCCAAGACTGCTGGAGGTATACGAAGCAGCAACCAAATCTGGAAAGAAGCAGTCACTCAGACATTTTGGACTGCCTTGTGAAAGATGTAAGTGGGACTGAGGATAGCTAGAAAATTAGACATCATTTATGTTTGTTAAAACATTGTCATCTCACTGCACGTCATATCTTGCAGGACACAAATGAAAGAAGGGCTGCTGCTCTGCTTGGTTTGCCACACTACATATCAGGCGAAGATCCATCAGCTGTCATCAGGATGTGTGATGTAAGACAACAGTTTTGAATTGCAACAGCTGTGTGTTAACATTTTGTCTTTTTTTATTATCTTTAATTTAAAGCTGTGGGCTGCACAGAGGTGCAGGAGGGGCTAAATCATTTAAAATAATTGATTTAAAAAAAAACTTCCATGCTGATCATGCGGCTCATCTATCAATCAGCCAATTGTGTGTCATGTCCAGTCTGATTTTGAACTGCAATGGTGCAAGACTGCAAAAAACGAACTGTGTAGTAGCAAGGGACTACTGTAATGGTATCTGTGCTTGCACACAAAAATGATCATTATTATTTCTTCTTTTTAAGGCTCATGCTGACACTCTGGATGATGCCTTGAAGGGGATGCAGCTTGGTCTCTTGATAGCCTGTGAAGGTGAATGACGTGCCATTCCACACAAGATCTTTGATGTGGCAGTTGTGGTGGAGGAGAACATTGTGCTTCACAACATTGACGATGTGGCACAAGCTTTGCCATGCTTATAGGTGTCATCTACTGTGTCAATCTCAAGAGTCCAGATGACATGAAGTATTCCTTTGAGTTTCTTCAGCGAGTGGTGATGAAGCTCAGACCAGGCTTCAGCTCGAGTACATGGATTGAGAAACAAAATCTTGAGGTACAAACTGTAACGCCTGTTTTCTGTTATTTTTTCATTAGAAATAGTTCTTGTAACAGTTAGTTCTTTTCTATACATAACACGTTCTGCATTTGTGCTGAAATGTCCTTTAAAAAAACCTCTCAGGGTTATCTTGAACTAATTTTATTATAAAAAAAAAACCCCATCACTCTCAGGGTTTTGCGAGACTGATCTTGTCGCACTTTACGTTGGACTGTTTATGAGCGATGATGGCTGAACGTATTGAATTTTCACTGCAACTGTTTAATGTTAATTTTCACAGCACTTTGGGCAAACTAGATTTTTCAATTATGATTTTATAAATTGGATTTAGATCATGTATGGGGGATTTTTACTGACATGCGTTGAGAACACACATTTTCAGTTTGCATTTCTGGGTCTTTATACCTATAAATTGTGACAAATGAAGGTATAGCATTCAATAAAAAAATGCATACCGCCCACCATTTTAGACAACAACATTGTGTGTTGAGAAAAGACAGAGTTCAAGGAACAACAAAGTCCATGCTCAATAATCCAGGTATACAATCCAACAGCAGAAGTTTTCAGTGCAAGCATTACAAGTTTTGAGAACAAAGAGTTAAATTCCTGCTTTCAAAACGAAAATGTGTGCTCTCGACTGTTCCCATTGAACATGGTCTAACATTTTTGTTTTGGAGATACATTCTGATTTTAAGGCTTGTCTCAACTATTTGATGGAGAAAGTCTGGAAAATAAATGTTATTGATCATGTGAGTTGTAAGTGTATATTCTGTGAAATTTTTTTAAGGAAACTCGTGAACTTGCCATTAATAGTGGAGAAAGGGGATTAGATTTGAAAATGTTTGTTAACTTAAATTGCAATTTTAAGTTCAGTTGCTACCTTAAAAACATGAGTTAGCATAACTTGTAAAGGTAAATTATATGAATATAGTTGAATGTAAAATGTAAGTTGAAACGATATACAAGTGTACGTTACTTTAACAAGAGAAAGCTAGTTTTCTTGAATGTATAATATAACTTTGTGAGTTGTTTTAACTCGGGAGTACAAGTTCAAACATGTTGTAATTCATTAGACAACTGGTATAACTTAACTATGCGAGTTGTTACAACATATAATTTTAAGTTTCCTTGACAAGAGTAATCAATTTTTTTGGAAGGAATAATGTTCTATGGTGAGTCATTTCAACTAATAGTATCGAGTTGAAACAATAAATTGGCATCAATTGGACAACTTTTATAACTTTTATAACTTGTATTTCTAAGTTGAAAAAAAGCTTCATCTTAAGTTGAGTTTACTTATGTTTTTAAGGCAGCAATTGAACTTAAATTTTTAAGTTAAACCACCCTAATATTTTTTACAGTGTTGGTAACATGGTGTAGAGACAAGTTTCATCCTTCAAAGTATCATCGGTTATGCTGTGGATATTTTCCAAGTGTCGACTACATAACAGGTAAATATTACTGGTAATATACATTATTCCAATACTGTTGTGAAATTCCCTTAATGTGTCATTTCTGATTTGTGATAGATTTTCTTTATACATCATCTAGCTGTTTTACATGATTGTTGAATGAAATTAACATTATCAATTCTAATAATTAATTGTAAAAAATATTACAAATAATTTGTGACACAGATCCAGTTGGGCTTGCTGTTAATCAAATAGTTGCTTTCTCGGCTGTGAGCTGTTGCCCTCCTTGTACGCCATCTTTGCTCCTCCATGATGTCACAGTTCTAACAGTCTAGTTGTTTTATTTAATTGTATGGCCACAACCCATGCTGCAAATCCTGCTTAATTAAAAAAAATAATTTAGCTATATTTACCATAACTTTTAAAAAGATCTATATTTAATGTTTAACTTGGGGAACGTTTTTTTTTTAAATACGGTATTTGTGTTCAGTTGTTAGATGCACTGTAGAGGCACGTCTTAATTCCTCTTTTTTCTTTTTTTAACCATGATTTTCTTCATAAAAAGTAGTTACTCCATTATAAAACTGCTGTTCACTTTACCAAGAAAGTGCGCTTATATATCATACATAACTTTAATGATTTACTAGCTCCAAAGGAATGCAATTTATCTCTATATTGCTTTTTTTAAATCAATAATTTAAAACAATTTTGTTTTTAGCATAGCTAATTAGTCAGTTTTATGCTAAATATGAGCCCTAAAGTTAAAGCTCAGATAACTCATTTGAATAAAAAATATTTTTAATAATAAAATACTTAAAAAATGTAATGTTAGGCTTTCCTAATAACATCATTTCACGAGTCAATAAATGAACAAGTTCAAGTTCATTCTTACATCCGCTTTACAGAAAAATGCAGGTTTGGCTTCAAGATGCCGTCAAGGGAATTTAGGTAAAAGTTTATAGATGTTTATCACTGCTAATGTTAAATTAATGTTACTGTGTGTGAGGTCAGAGAGTTCTTTCTCTCAGAGAGGAGCCTGCAGGCACCTGGCACAGTCTGGAGGAGGCGCTGATAAGAGTGTATTATAAAATTAAAATAAAACATTTCCTGCACTTCTCTGGTGCAGATTCTTATGATGAGGCACTAAGCATGTAACTTTGAACATCTGTAAAAGCCCGTTTCGTGACCGTCTGCTCTTACAAGTAAACTGGGTTAAAAATAGTCTGTCTTTGTGGGGATCCTTTTGTAAGTAGATGATGAAAGGATTTTTTTTAATCCAACAGCTGCATTTTAAGTTACAAATTTACACACAACCTGATATATACAGACCCTTTCCAAAAAACTAGAATATCATGGAAAAGTGGTTTAACTTTCATAATTCTATTCAAAAAATTAAACTGTAATAGATGATAGATTCAGGGCCCACAATTAAAACGATTTCAAGTATTTATTTGTTTATTTTTATATAATTTGGGCTTCGAGGTCATGAAACCCACGACAACAGAAATTGAAAAATTAGAATACTGTCAAGAAATCAGCCCAAATGTTGCAGGGCATGAATGTTTTAAACTCAGTGTGACACACTAAACATCTACTAAACTCAAAGCACCTGCACAGGTTTCCCCAGGTGTCATTAAATTGCTTCAGTTTGGTTCAATTGTCTCAATTCGGTTCAATATGGGGAAGACTGCAGACATAACAACTGCCCAGAAGACCATCATTGATACGCTCCATAGGATGGGTAAGCCACAAAAGTTCATAGCTAAGGAGGTTGACTGTTCACAGAGTGCTATGTCTAAGCATATCAATAGATAGTCTAGTGGAGGGGCAAAATATGGCAGAAGACACACCAGCAAAAGAGATGACCGTGGTTTTCAGCGGATTATCAACCAGAGAAGATTCCAGAATCTGGCAGAGATCCAGAAAGAGTGGAAAGAGGCGGGAGTCACAACTTAAAAAACCACCACATTCAGACACTTCCAGGAGATGGGCTACAACTGTTGGGTTCTTGGGGTCAAGCCACTTACTAACCTGAGCCAACGTATCCATTTCCGATAAAAGTAAAATGTGCCTGTCATTCGGAAATCAAGGTCCAAGGGATTTGGAGGAAGAAGGGTGAGGAACAGAACCCATACTGCTTGAGGTCCAGTGTGAAATATCCACAGTCAGTCATGATTTGGGGTGCAATGTCCGGTGCAGGTGTTGGTAAACTATGCTTTCTTACATCCAAGGTCACCGCAACAGTTTACCAGAATGTTTGAGGACTTCATGCAAAAGATCTGTATGGAGATGCAGATTTCATCTTTCAGCAGGACCTGGCCCCTGCCCATGCCGCCAGAAGCACCAAAACCTGGTTTGATGCCCATGCCACAGTGCTTGACTGGCCAGCCAACTCTCCGGACCTAAACCCCATTGAGAATCTATGGGACATTCTCAAGAGGAAAATGAGGAGCACCAGACCCAACAACAAAGAAGAGCTGACTGCAAACATCAAGGAAATCTGGGCTTCCATAACTCCCAGGGAATGACACAGGATGATTGCCTCAATGCCACGTCGCATCAAAGCAGTGATTAAGGCAAAAAGATTCCCAACCAAGTATTCAAGATTAAAATATCGTTTTGAAAGTACTATATTTTGATTTTGTTGTGATCCTAATTTCTTTCATTTTTTTTCTGCAAAAACTTAAGAAGTGTGGGCTGATTTCTCCACAGTATTCTAATTTTTTGAATTCCTGTTTCCGTGGGTTTCTGGAAGCCCAAATTATGTAAAAACAAACAAATAAAATACTTGAAATTGTTCAAATTGTGGGCCCTGAATCTATCATCTATTAAATATAAACTTTTTGAATGGAATTATGGAAGTTAAAAACTTTTCCATGATATCCTAATTTTTTGGAAAGGGTCTGTATTTCAAGGATGTGATACCCTGTGAGTGGTAAAAGCATTTATTTATTAACCTTTATTTAACCAGGCTAATCCCATTAAGATCACAGATCTCTTTTGCAAGGGAGGCCTGGGCCTGAAGGCAGCCTTATACGCACATTTGCAGGTATGCAGGAAAAGGTATTTGAAAACAATTTTTTGTAAAAACTAGACTGTAAAAAACTATACACGATGTCACCAAATCCTATAGACGACTCCCAACGCATGATGAATCCTGTATTTAGAATAAGATCATTTAATCCATAATTAAATCAGTATTTAAACTCTAAATTTAAAATGAATGTCATTTTTTTCTTATTTAAATTTACATTAAAAAAAAAGAACTGAGTTGAATTAAAGCACTACTTGATTTATTTGTAGAAAACTAGGATACACCGTACAAAATGGTCTAATGACAGGTTAAAAAGTCAACACTAACAGAAAAAGACACTTCAAACACACACACATGTTCAAGAGGGAACCCAGATGTTGCCATGTGTGTCTGGTTCCTGGCTGTACGGGATGTTCCAGATCCACGGCTGATCTGAGAACGGAGAAGAAAACTTGGGTTATAAAGTGAACATGTTGGATGATGACAGGTTGGGAATCAGTTGTCATTTTCAGACAAACCCTAAAACAAAAGATGTCTTTGCTTTATATGCGGAAGAAGATGCACTTTTTCTGTTTACTCTTCCTTAAAGCAGATGGAGGGGAAAATGCGACTAAAGATGCACAACAACCCCAGTGTTTTTAAATGTCTTTCTGGGTGTTTGTAAAAAATAAAAATTACATCAGTAAAGCACACTATTTAACGCATAATGAAAGAAAGATGAATGCACCTTTTGAAGAATAGCTTGAAGGAGGGAGGTCAAAGGGCACCGGGAAACCAGAGGTGGATGAAGAGACGGGAAATGGATTTTTATCAACAGGGAACGTCTTCATGTTCTGTAAGAAGCCAAATCATTGCACCATAAACCTGTATGTTAACCATCTGACAAGCAGACATGGACCAGAAACACTTCACAGTTAGTTAAATATTGGCCCTCAGAAAACTGAAGCAAACCGAACTCCAGGTTTTTACAAAGAAACAAACTCGAACACCACCTTTGCCAACAGGCTTGGAACAAAATACAATAGATACCCTCTGTGTGAACCATGATATTTAGAGGAATGCTTCAGAACAAGTTAAAACCACATCCAGAGCATCACTGTGGATCAGAATACCATCACTCTGATGTGTCCAACCAAAAAGCAAAGTTGTTAATTTAACAGCTGGTTTATGTTCCAACCTTCATCAGTGACCATGAGCTGTGGGTCATGACCACATGAGAAGGTTCAAGGAGACTTTATTGTCATTCACATCACATGTGACGTGGAATGAAATTGTGTAATCAAGGTCATAGTTGCACCCAAAAATAGCAAAAAAAGAATATAAATTATAAAAAGAAATGGTAAATGGACTGTATTTATATAGCACCGTACTATCTTATCAAAATACTCAAAGTGTTGTACACTACAGTCTGTGTCCTCATTTACTCTTCATACAACACTACTAGATCTGTATAAAGATTCATTAGTGCTTTATCACATTCATACACCGAGGGACACACATCTGAGGCAATGAGAGGTTCTGTGTCTTGCCCAGGGACACTTCGGCATGTGACTGCTGGTGGAATCAAACCCCCAACTCTTGCACTGGAGGACGACTGCTCTAACCACTCAGCCTCAGCTGCCCAGTATATAGAAACAGTATACAAGGATGTAAGATATACGCTAAACAATAAATACAAATATGGTATACTAAACAGCAGCCTGAACATGAGTTTGTTGTGAGCAGATGGGTATGAATATAGCAGCTTATGGGTAAGACATCAGCAGCATGGATAAAGTGTCAAATGTCCAATTAAAGTGGCATTACAGTGATTTTTTCCACAGTGATAATCCTGATTAGGGATTCATGAGCCTAACAGCCTCAGGGTAGAAGCTGTTCCTCAGTCTAGTGGTTCAACACTTAAAGCTCCTCAACCTCCTTCCTGAGGGGAGCGGGACAAAAAGTGTGTGTGCTGGGTGAGTGGGGTCCAGGTGGCCCTCTTCCTGCATCTGGAGGTGTAGATGTTTGTGATGGTGGGGAGGCTGACTCAAACAGACTTCTGTGCAGCCTTCACCACTCTCTGCAAAGCTTTTCTTTCTGCAGCTGTGCAGCCTCCATGCCACAGGATGCTGGAGCACAGGATGCTCTCCACTGCACACCTGTAGGAGGTGGTGAGGACTGAGCTTCCCAGTCCAGCTCATCTCAGCCGCCTGAGGAAGTAGAGTCTCTGATGTGCCTTCTTGATTAGACTGGAAGTGTTCAAGTTCCAGTTTCTTTATTGTCATTCGCATCACATGTGGTCCATGAGGTGGAATGAAATTGTGTACTCAGGGTCCCAGTTACACCCAAAAATAGCAAAAATATAAGGATATATAAGATAATATAAAGATCTAAGTTATACACTAAGATATACGCTAAACAAATGCTAAACGGTTGAAAA